TATGTATATATGCATATATGCATATATGTATATATGTATATGTGTATATATGTATATATGTATATATGTATGTATATATGTATGTATGTATATATGTATGTATGTATGTATGTATATATGTATATATGTATATATGTATATATGTATATATGTATATTTGTATATTTGTATATATGTATATTTGTATATATGTATATATGTATATATGTATATATGTATATATGTATATATGTATATATGTATATATGTACATATGTATATATGTATATATGTATATATGTATATTTGTATATTTGTATATTTGTATATATATATATCTATATGTCTATATGTCTATATGTCTATATGCCTACATGTCTATATGTCTATGTATATATATATATATATGTATATATATATATATATATATGGTCACGCCCCCCCCCCCCATGATCCATACCATGTTTTTTTCTACCTCCTGCTGCTCATGCTTCGATTTCTACATGACTTCACCTACATACAAAATCATCGGTATTTGCGGTATTTTCTGCACCTAGCATCTACTTAGCTCTACATGTTGTAATTTGTTCTCACATGTTATATCCCCACGAAACCCGAAACGGATTCTGATTTCACTTTCGGGCTCCGCTCTTCCATCCAAAACCTCGCACTCCATGTTTCAGAAGGCATCACCGGTGGTTGTGCAAAAGCTTCAACATGTTGCCTGTCACTGTCTCCATGTTTTGGTGCCGATGCCAATACTCAAACTGGCAGCTTCGAATCTTCCTGGTCATTGCCTGATTGCCTGGAAAGCGTGACACATACTTCAAGTGTGTTCATAATATTATAGTACTAACGCTAATACTACTACTAATACTTATCACAATATTTATACTAACATCAATATTTGCAATAGTATTGATACTCCTACGAGTACGACTACATAAACTCTTGTGGTGTTAACAACAATGCTATCACCAACACTGATACGGATATTGGTAATCTGTTGAATATTCATGAATGCCAGTACTATTCCCAGCATGAACACTTATATTATGGCTAATACGACTATGAATAGTCTTAATTCTAATATCAACATTAAAACTCCTACGAATACGTATATTCGTATTGATATGAATGCTAATCTTTTTACTAATAGACACCTGCTTATACTAATGTACATAAAAATACATACCACTATCTTAAGATACAGATATATACACTAGTGCATTCATGTACTAATGTTTTGGCATAAACATATACCCATATACCAATGTAATAATATACTTCCCGTTAATGTATGAATATACTATACTAATATGCGAGTATACTAATATACGACTACTGCAACATGCAAGTATACCGACATGACAAATTAGTAGGCTAATATGCCAACATACTGATATACTTGTAAATATGACTAGACAATACATGAATATAGCACACATACTAGTAAACTAATACACCAATATACTAGTGTACCCGTGCACCAGTTGTGCTAACATATCAAATATACAAGTATACAAGTATACAAATATGTTACTGTTCGAATGCATTAATAATATATTGATATACTAGTCTGCTACTGTACGAAACTATCAATATTCTAACATATCAAAACTAGTTCTAGTATTGATACTAATACTAGCACTTCTGCGAATATAAGCTGCGGTTAAACCCAACATTAAGACTGACACTGATACTAGCAGTGGTGCTGTATTACTGACATTGACACTGGCACTAGCGCTAACTCTAAAACGAGCATGAGCACTGACACTAATTTATGTTTACTAATACTGACATGTATACTATCACAGCAAACACTACTACTAATATTATTAAGAACAGTACTCATCCTAATATCGATACTTCCACAAAACTATCACGTAACTCATGTGCCGCGCGTCTGGTGCATGCGTCCTCAGTACATGGCATGTCAAAGTATATGTTGTATATCTACTGCAAATGTTTTACTTTACAGATTGTCGTCGGGTGTGGTGTGCTTTGATACAGTATCTCAAAGAATTGGTGGCATCGAGAGCATCTTGCAAGGATATGTCACCCCCGTCGCGGATCATGCTGGAAAAGAGGAAAAGAGGAACACAAACGATGACTTTCACTCGGGAGAGAACTGCAACGGATATGTCGTGGAACATACCGCACCTTGACATGGCATTAAAACAAAGCATATGCCGTGTGTATACACGTGACAAACAAAGACATAATAGGAACACGGCATCCAAGGTTAGCAAATGCCGCCTGGCTCGAAAATCCCCAAAATTTGTAAAGCCTGAAATTCGAAAACATCGGCAGGGATCAAAAATCCCCAAAATTCCCAAAATCGTGGCATCTATGGGGCCATGGGTGTTTAGTTTTGCAAAACTTTGGGGATTTTCGAGCCTGGCAATGTTTTAGCATCCGACGTTGACGAAATGCCGCCAGGCTCGAAAATCCCCAAAATTTGTAAAGCCTGAAATGCGAAAACACTGGCAGGGATCAAAAATCCCCAAAATTCCCAAAATCCTGGCAACTATGCGGAGTGCGGGGCCATAGTCTCTCACATTTTGGGGATTTTGGGGATTTTTGATCCCTGCCAGTGTTTTCGCACTTCAGGCTTTACAAATTTTGGGGATTTTCGAGCCTGGCAGTGTTTTAGCATCCGACGTTGACGAAATGCCGCCAGGCTCGAAAATCACCAAAATTTGTAAAGCCTGAAATGCGAAAACACTGGCAGGGATCAAAAATCACCAAAATTCCCAAAATCCTGGCAACTATGCGGAGTGCGGGGCCATAGTCTCTCACATATTGGGGATTTTGGGGATTTTTGATCCCTGCCAGTGTTTTCGCACTTCAGGCTTCAGGAATTTTGGGGATTTTCGAGCCTGGCAGTGTTTCAGCATCCGAAGCTGCCCACCTCCCATGATCCACTGCTTACCAAAAGCAAGCATAGTATGGATCATGGGGGGGGGCGTAAGCATATATATATATATATATGTATATATATATATATATACATATATATATATAGATATATAGGTATGGGTGACTAAGTGTAGAAAGTAGAAAGTTAAACTAACTAAAGACATACATGAACACGAACTGAAAGATAAATAAGTGACAAAACATATAGATAGATGGGTATGTGTATACACGCACCCCCCCCCCCCCCCCACCCCCCAAATACACGGGTCTGGAGCCTTGGGCGCCTGTGCAGAGGGCTCGAGAGAGGGGGAGGTGGAGGGCAGGGGAGGGTAACTAAACTCGGAAGCCCAAGACCCCAGCCGTTCCACAGGAGGGGAGATGATCACATGACCAGCCATTGAAAGCAGGCTTAAACTGAACCACCCAACCATTCCACACACAAGCTCAAGGCTCAAGCTGTTCCGCAGAGGAGGAGGGGGGAGCGCAACCACACACACACATATATATATATATATATATAAATGCACATATACCTCTGTATTTCATCTGTTTTTGCTTATTTGAACCCCGAGCTCTCCGGATACTCAGAAAGCTCCAGGCAGGGCGGTCCGTGCTGTCCACCTAGCAAGGGTCAACTTCGGGAATCCCATACCCTAAAACCCTAAACCTGAACCCTAAACCTCAGACCCCAAAATCTAAACTCCAAACTAAACCCTGGCCCTTAAACTGCACCCCTAAACTCCGAACTCCAAGCTGCCGCGCACCGCCGCGAAGCTCCACAGCGCGAGAGGCAAGTGACGTATCAGATCAACTACGCGCCCAATGCAGCGAGCATCGGAGAGGGCGCGGCTCGGCTCCGCATGCTGATAGGGGTGTAAGTAAGATGTTTGAACTTGGCTTTATGGGTGGGTTGAAGGTTTTGAGATAGTTCTCCGTAACCTGGTCTCCATTGCTGCAGCCTGGGGGGGGGGGTGACCACTAGGGGTGGTGGTGCTGGTGGTGGTGGGGAGAGTGATTTTCTTGAGGGGCGTGGTTTTGGGAAGTGGGGGGGGGGGTTGGTGGTGGTGTGGGCCTGGTTTTGAGAGATTGAAAGTATTTTCAATAGGGTTTGTGGGCTTGAGAGCACTAAAAGTTTCACAGGATCTCGGACAAGGGTTTGAAGGACAACGCGAGGGTTCTAATGATTAGAAAGGGGGTTATGCAGGGGTTGTACTATAGAAGTGGTTTATACAAAGGCGTTTCGGATTAAAGGGGTTGTATTCCACTTGTTTGTGATGGCTTTGAAGAAGCTTTTGGGCTTTCTTTTTCGTATGAGACTCTATAATGGCCTGGGGTTTTTTGTTTCAGGATTTAGTGGTTTGGCTTTGGGGTTTAAGGCTTGGGGTCTGGCGTGTTCGGCAACGGGGCTTCGCGTTTAGCCAGGTGTAGGGTTTAGATTTGGTGTTTCGGGTTGAGGGTTCGGTGGTAGGTGCTTCAAGCTCAGCTCAGGTTTTCTGGGTTCTATCATGCAGTTTCCGGGTCGAATAGACCAGGGGGCCGGGTAGGGACGGGTAGTGTGATATCGACTGGGTTTTATGTTTGACCTTCACGCTGAACCCTGAACTAGAATCGAAACGCATGGAGGCCCGTTTTGTCAATCTCATGTTAAATTGGGAAGTGCAGATGCGTCTCGTCGGTCTTCGCTTTCCGCGTTTAGATGTTTGTCATCCTGGTCCGGCGCTGGCACACACCTTTGTGCCTTTGTGGGGTTTCCCACAGTTCTGGGGTCATAAATCCGAAACCCCAAACAACTCAAAGTAAAGCTGGAGTCGCCAGCGTAAAACACTTAAACCGCCCTACAAAGCCCGCTTGAAACCTTAAGTAATGAACACGAAGCCCTATCGAGGTTCGGCCAATGGCGCAGACGAAGGGCCCAAGCCTTCCCTTTTACCAAGCCATCAATCAAATCACCGCACCGACATTGGTCGGGAATGATGGGTGTGCGATGGCTAATTTTGGCGTTGGCTGCTCAGGCATGTAAAGCCTCAGAAAATGCATGCACGTCGGGAGTAGAGCTTCCGCAAGATGGATCTGACTGCAGTGCCTTTCTGCAGTCTGCCATGCACCGCTCAGACCCAGAAACCACAGCCCCAAAGGAGCAAGTGGCGGAGAAGATCGGAAGTGGAAGCCAAGAGAAAGCCAGCTTCCCAGGCTTTTGGCCGCGACCATTCTTCAAGCGATGGAGGCAGCGCCGGCACTATTATAATGCTGACAAGCCGTCCGGGGAAGATGTCGGACCGTCCGGGGAAGATGTCGGACCCTCCGGGGAAGATGTCGGATTGGCGTTTGTGGTTATTTTCATCGAGGTTTCCGACGGACCGGATGCCTCGAACTTCCTGGACGAACCGGAAGAGAACGAGACCTTCGTCGCCGCTGTCGCAGCGTTGTTTGGTCCGAACTTGACGGATTGTTGGGTGGAGTTTCGTGGCTATAACATGTCTGCTTTCGATGACACGGAGTTCAGCGGTGATGTGGCGCTGAAGCTTGCCCAGATCAAGCAGGCAAGCAACGTGAAAGCTCCGACTTTCGAGGGCGACTTGCTTTTCGCAGAAATCGAGTGCAAGCACCCGCTTTCCACAGGCGAGGCATGGTTGGAGGGGATTGAAAGCAATCTGTCTCCTTTGGCAGCAAACTTCCGAGCCCTCGTGGCAGGCTTGGGCGTGACGGGGGTCGAAGATGCCGGGATCGTCTACGTTGATTTTGATGAAGAACTCGACGAAGAAGATGAAGAAGAGGGGTAAGAAGACGGCGACGCTGACGAAGAACTGCAGCCATAGCTTTCCCTGCAAGCTTGTGAAAGCACAAGCGCTTTTAAGTATGAGATTAGATTGACAGCTCATCACCCATCAGTGCAGGATCCGACGCTGTTTCGCCAAAGACTGCTGCGATTGCAAGTTTAGTTTCTGGGTTCCAGGGTTCGGGGCTTAGAGATTGGATGTTGCGTTTGGGATTTATGCTTCAGGTTTTTGGCTTGGGGATCTTGGTTGCCGACCAACAATGGCAGTAAAAGAGTGAGCAGCGCAAAACGCTAGCACCAACCCCAAACTTACGCTTCAACCCAAAGCCCTTGCCATGACCTTCCCCCTCCACCTAGGCGAAGCTTGCCGCCATGGAGAGCACCATCTCGGAGCCACCGGAAGGGGGGGAAACACGAACACATAGAAAAGGGACCTCGGGTTTTGGCGCTTTGGAATTTTGGGGTTCGTTGGGCTATGCTTCGAGCCAGGACGCCCCGGGAAAACTTCCTGATCCCAAATCCCCAGCCCAAATCTAAAAACCCCAACCCCAAAAGCCTCAAACCCTGGCCGTCATCCCTAAACTGTACACTCTGAACCCTGGCGCTCTTGCCGATGACTTCGAACAAGTCGAAATCTCTGATCGGTGTAAAGAACTTTCGAGAGCCCTAAGCATCACGACTGGACTCTGATTGAACCCTGTCTAAAACCCTTTAGAAATGCTTCTAAGACGATGGAAAACCCTGACATACCCCACTCTAAACCCTAAGCCCTAAGTCAGACCTCAACAGTTATAAAGGAGATCGAAAAGCAGCTCGGGGTGCGTGAGCCCATCAGTCACTTCCCAGCCACGGCCCCATGTTTTGGGTATTCCTCAAAGTTGGAGTTTTTTGCGCTTCGTGTTTGCTGATGGGAGGAAGGGGAATTCAGTTTTCCGCGGCTTTTTGACATGGGATTTCGGTTGTGTGGCCCATGTTGAGTGGTCTTTGTAGTCAGGGCCTATGTACTTAGTGGTACATGCTTGCGTTCTTCATCTGTGGGCTTTGTCCATCTATCCGTCCATCCGTCCGTCCATCCCTCCAGCACACGCAGCCAGCCATCCGTCTAGCGATTTACATGCACAAGTGTAGATATGCGTGCAACAGTGCCGCCCTTCGGCCGAGGACTTGCAAACCGCCGTGACTCAGCTACAGAAGCGCCTGGCGCTCTTGGACCGTCCTACCGGGCTGTAAGGCTTCGGACTTTGGGCTTATGGCTGAGGGCTTCTGGGTCTAGGGCTTCAGTCCTGCATCCTAAACCCTAAACCATAACTCCCGGGAACCACTAGGACGCATACTGCAAACCTTGTCGACTCTTCACAGATCTCAAAAACCCTCCACCCTTCCACCTTTCAGCCGATCCTGAGCCCAAATCCCCAAAAGCACCAGAAGCCCCGATATCCTCTAGGATGCCCAGTAGTACCCTTATTCCCTTTTTGTAGTCCTAGGTTCCTTATAAAGTTACCCAATACCAAAAAGAGAGGCCTTTTTATTCTTAGGTTACTGGGTATCCGAGTCCTCCAACCCTTAAAGCTTCGAAACAACTGAAGCCTTCGCAGAAGCATTGCCGAAACCTTGCAGAACCCCTGTGGCCCTACTGGAAATCTCAAGTTTCCAGGGAAGCGTAACACCTTATTCCCCAAAACCAAACCCATTCAACCAGATTCAGCGCGGATCCCTTGCAGGATCCCTTAAAGGAGCCCTTTGTTTGTTTCCATTCATGTTTCACGTGCACCAATGAGTGCTTCATGCAAACGACCGACTGATGTCCGTAAATAATTAAAGGAACCCTAAAAGGGACCCCTAAACCCTAAACCCTAAACCCTAAATCCCCTAAAGGAGCCCTAGAAGGGACCCTCTTCTGATTCTTAAAGCCGTCATTTCGCAGGACTCGCCGAAGCTGGAGGCGATTGCAAAGGGCGTAGACAAGGCCAGGAGTTCCCAAGTAAGCCTTCTTTTCCATAAGGGCTCAATAAGAGTTTTCTAGGGGGCATATGCATACATATATATATATATATGTATGTATGTATGTATGTCTCTACGTATGTATGTAGGTATGTAGGTATGTAGGCATGTAGGTATGTAGGTATGTAGGTACGTATGTATGTATGCATGCATGCATGCATGTGTGTGTATGTATGTGTGTATTTATTTACATATACTGTATACATACACACATGTCTAATCAGCTTCTATACGGGTTTCATTTTTGAAATAATGGTTTACAGGTCTGGGTTTTATCGGTTTTGATGAGGGTTCAAGAGGGGCTTGAGCTTGCTTTTATCGGGTTTTGTAAGTGCCTCTGTCTGGTCTGTCTGGTCTGTCTGGTCTGTCTGTGGGGTTTGGGACAGGGTCTTGGGGTTTGCCAGTGGGTTTGCGATCCCATTTTTTTGGCATTTAGGGTTCAGGGGCTGTGAGGTTCAAGGCTTCGGCTTCGGGGTTTTAGGTATCGCAATGTGGCTTAGGGTTTGAAAGGATTCTCCTCCATGGGCCGAAATCAAAAGCTTCATGGCATTGCAGTTTTAGGGCTTTGGCTTTCTGTCCCAGTTTGTGAATGTTTCCTGCTTGGGGTCTGATACGGTGAGGAGGGCGCCCAGATTCCGACCGTAGCATGGGCTTTCGAAGCCTCACGGAGCGAAAGAAGAATGCTCTGGCTCATGTGGCACTCTACGGTTAAGGGTTCAATCTTACTCGGGGCTACGGTGACGTGTTGTGTGGCCAGTTTGCTGTAAAAGTCAGCCTGCCATTGCTGGCAAAGAAACCCAGAACCCTAAACCCTGAACTCCATCTGCCCAAAGCCCAAAACCCTAAAATTTAAACCTTAAACTCCTGTAGTCTATATGTGGCTGCACCAGCGTTCCCCCACAGGGATTTCCCATGCGCACTTTGCAAGGCGGAGAAAAGGCGATTAAATACAAAACCTGAAACTCTAAACCCTTAGCTTCCCTATACTTACTATACTTGGACTCCACGAAGTTTCGCACAAAGTAAACCCCAAGTAGCGAAGGTAGCCAAAGAAGTGGAGCAAGTTCTGGCCAAGAAGGCAGCTCGCGGGTTTAGTTTAGGGTTCAGGGGTTTAGTTTAATTGGGTTTAGGAGTTAAGCGGTTTAAAGGGGGGGTTAGAGGTCGGGGTTTCGGGGTTGAGAGTTGAGTCGCCTTGGAATTGATCGTGTTAAGACCAGCGAGAGCAGCGGCATTTCTTACACTAGGAGCAAGAATCAGGACGAGACGCACATGTCACTTGGTTCGTACTGTGGCTGTCTATGAACTTGGGGTTTGCTGTTGCTACTACAGGAATGAATTAGTTGCTCACGCAATTTTTCGTTGTCTTTAATGCTGTGAGGGTCGAGGGTTCAGAGAGTTCATGTGTGGAATATTTCTCATAGTACTGTGGAGATTCTCAGCAACAGCAGCACTGACACTGACATGATGTTGTTCTATTGTTTCTGGGATTGCCGTTGTCTCGATGATTATTGCTGGTATTGAATGGCATGCCCACCATTGACTTAAGTTTTGCCAGTCCCGTTGCCGACTGCCTTGCCTATGCCCACGAATAGGCTCAGAAGCTTTGCAAGTCCTGTTGCCGACTGCGTTGTTTGTTCCGTCGCTGAATTGTGTGCAATTGGTTCTTTCTGTTCATGCATGATGTTGATGCTTCGACACATTAGCCAAACTCATCTCTGGCTTATTGTTCCGTGCTATCATGTTTGGCGGTCCTTGCATATCTCAGGTGCACGCGGATGTCTCGACTCGTATGTCTTTCCTTCGATCTTGCAGGTAGTGTTTTTAACTGTCAGGCAACCAGCCATTGACAGGTGCCAAAAAACCCGTTTGCTTCAAGGATATGTGTTCGTATGAAACGGAATTTATGAATGTATCCCCTTGCGGTCCTTGTATTGTTATGTCATGAAAGCCCCTGCAAAACCCCGTTCTCATATTCAAGGCCTCTACACAAGTTTCCGAGAGGCGCAGCTGGAAGGAACGACGGACAAGGATCTCGACCACAAGGCTTTCCACTCCACCGAATGTAAGAGGCGCTTTCCTAGACTTACTATGAACATGACTATTTTAATCTATGTGTTAAACTTACTAGTTGAGCATCATTGAGCATCAAGAGTGCCGTTCTTTGTGTTTACTAGTGCTGCTGTTGCTCCTGCTGCTGCTGCTGCTGCTGCTGCTGCTGCTGCTGCTGCTGCTGCTGCTGCTGCGCTACTGCTACTCTTACTGCTATTTATTGTTATAGCTACAGCTGCAGCTACAACTACCACTACTACCACTACTACTACTACTACTACTACTACTACTACTACTACTACTACTACTACTACTACTACTACCACTCCTACTACTCCTACTACTCCTACTACTCCTACTACTCCTACTACTCCTACTACTCCTACTACTCCTACTCCTGCTCCTGCTCCTGCTCCTGCTCCTGCTCCTGCTCCTCCTGCTCCTGCTCCTCCTGCTCCTGCTCCTCCTGCTCCTGCTGCTCCTGCTGCTCCTGCTGCTCCTGCTGCTCCTGCTGCTCCTGCTCCTGCTGCTGCTGCTGCTGCTACTGCTACTGCTCCTGCTGCTCCTGCTGCTACTGCTACTGCTACTGCTCTGCTCCCGCTCCTGCTGGTGGTGCTGCTTCTGCCGGTGCTGGTGCTGCTGCTACTGCTACTGCTGCTGCGACTGCTACTGCTATCGCGACGACTGCTGCTTGTTGCTACCTCTCCTGCTACTGCTACCGCTGCCGCTAGCGCTATAGCTGCCGCTGCCGCTACCGCTGCCGGTAAAGCTACGGCTACCGCCAGCGCCACCGCTACCGCTACCGCTACCGCTGCTGCGACGGCTGCTACTGCTAGTGCTGCTGCTGCTGCTGCTACTACTACTACTACTACTACTACTACTGCTACTAGTACTGCTACTGATACTCCCACCACTGCCACTACAAGCTACACCAAATTACACGACCTCTACTAT